AGCTGCCCAGCAGGAATGGAGGTAAAGGCAACAAGTGCAGAGCACAGACTCCCCACCTGCTGTGCCACACTCAGAACCTGTCTGTGAGAGAAGAGCCCAAGGGGAGATGCTGCCAGGACAGCACCCACCTCCTGCAGCTGGTCCGACTGCCCAGCCACCGCCCAGTGACCTCCTGGAGCACGGGGGGGCTGTACCCCACTGCTCCGAGCCTGGCACCCATGCCTTGGACAACTAATCCATACCTGTCCATAACCTCCTGCCCCAGGACAGGCTGATTCACTCCCTGATTTTCTTTTTCAGACCTAAACAAAGCTGTCACCTTCACAGAGCTCCATTGCACTCCGAAGTTGCCACAGGCTGATGGTTGTTTCCCAAGTACTCAGCATTGCCAAGGGGACAGTGCCTGTGCACAGGGCCAACCTCAGATCAGGAGCTCTGTAAAGATGCTGTCAGTTTCCTGAAGCATCAGGAAACTAAAATGTTCCTGCAAAGTTTAGGAGAAAGCTTAGAAGGTGAATGATTTTTAGGAAGATGAATTAAACCCACAGGTTTAATTAGAGTATCATAAGGTGTTACTTTGAAGGCTACAAAAAAACAAAATCATACGCTATAAAGGCAGAGGAGAGGGAACCACTCAGGGGCACAATATTCTGAGTCCCTTACACCTTACCCTTTACAAAAAAACACCTTGCCCAAATTATGAAGGGAAAGGTGCTTATCCTCTGAAACATGGCTTTGCATCCAGGCAACATGTGTTTCTCACTTCAGTTTTACTAAGTGAGTGGTCCCAGCTCATTTTACAGTGACCACATGCTCACACATCTGCACATGCAAAGTTGTTTAGATACTATGTCATCAAGAATGTTAGTCCAAAGTCTAAAATCCCTGCTGGTCCACAACTGATAAAAGCTACATACTGTAATTCGTAGTAATTATAATTCAAATTATAGGAGAAAAGCAAAGGTGATAGAGAAATAATGCAACACTCTTGCAGTTTCTTCAATTTAGCCATTGCTGTAGCTAGCAAGATGCTTTGTCAATGCATCAAATTTCCACCTCTAAGGGAAAGGGAAACATGATAGGAAGGAAGAGGACAGACTAACAAAATCAAACGTTGCTTTTTGAGCTTAGGTCAAATTCAGTTGCTACTGAACCTGCTTACTTTACTCAGAACAGGATCTGGACTATGTATAAGAGCAAAATTACTCTGGACTGATGCAAACATCAATGCAGATGCAAAATATCCAGTTAAAACGCAAGTCTTTTATTCAAAGTACATCCACAGTGCTTAATGTATTCACAAAACTGAACATACTGACACATTTGTGCTGGCAAAAGTGAACCACTCATCACTGTCAATGTACTTTAGCTTTATGTGGTTTGAAAAATAGCAAGTTCAGTCCGTCAAATTAGGCATATCTAACTGTGCAAATTTTTCATTAGCAATTGTCTGTTTGTGTAGGAAGCTGTGGTGTCACTCCATTGCACACATCCCTTCCTGCACGCCACATTAAAAGGAAACAAAAACCATGAGAGGCCAAAAGGAGCTGCTCATAGAAAGCCAAGCACAGGTTTCTCATCGTTAATGCATTGTGGACAGCTGGTCAATGCATCTTCTATAAAAACCTGGCATATTTAAAGCATCTCATTTCATTGGGTCACATATTACTGCACTTAAGAACTGACCAAATTTCTGAGGGCATCTGAGGCGTGTTTTAATAGTATCTAGAATCACAGACTCCCACTTTTCACTGAGTTGTTTCACATCTTTGTTGCACTTCTTCCCTGAGCTTGAAAGTAATTTCTTTTGTTTTCCCAAATGTGGGAACTTACACATGAAAAACTCTTTCTGTCAAGATGTGATAACTCTCCTTACTCGGTCAAAACTGGCACACAGTTCTTGAAAGAAATTATCAGACCAAAAGCTCTTGTGCTAATACTGGGATTTGTATTAATTTGGGAGTTATTTCTTACTTACAGTGATGAAGGAACAGGACTTGAATCCTGCCCTGAGACTTCTTGAGCCCACTGCACCCATCTCTTTTGTGAAAAACAGCAGAAACAATGGACTGACTTCCCTCAAAATGTAGAATAAATGTATTACTTTATTAAGGCTCAGCCAGGAAAGAGTTCTCCATGAAGATCAGTATGACAGAAGCAAATGTTGCACCTGGACAGACAAACAGGAGCCTATAACGTGCATGAGGGCCGTGAGCTCATCCCTGCAGGCTCTTCAGCACTAGCAGAGCCCCAGGGGAATTCCAGGTCCAGTTGTGAGTACCAGGCTGCAAGGTGAGCTGATAGAGATGTTTAGGGCTGACCACCACAGACAGACTCTATACCAATGTTCTTCAGCACTCCAAATGTGTAGCTAATGACTGTCAGTGTAAACAACTTACTTGTGCATGATTTGTGCTCATTCTAGTGTAGATATCAATGCTCTCTCTCAAGTAAGCTGAACAGAACTGTAAATGTCCTTCCTGAAATGTCGACTTGCTGGGGATGTGTAGCTAGTGATAAACGTTGCAGATTTTCTTCAAACAGAACTTCTCTGGGTGTATTGCTTCATTTAATTGAATTTTACTTTCTCCTCTCTTTTCTCAAATGCAGCTCTTGAAAATGAAACGGTTCAGTCTTGGGCACACCACGTACCTTTTTTTCAAAATTCACTGTCACAGTACAAATGTAACTGAAAGGAGAACTAACTCATTATTTTAGGAAGCCATTCACCATATAGTCTATATTGCTTGTTACTCACTTTCCTCTTTATTATCACAGGTTGGATGCAGGTGATTTAGAGAAAAAAGAAGTGGGAGTTACATAAAACATCAGGGCTAGATCCTCAAGGGATACAAATTGTTGTTGTACCATTTGCAGGCTTTGGAGGACAGGGTGTACCAAATCAAAGTGTTCTTTGTTTCCTAATATGATCCTACTGCACAAACTAGAAAAGAGCTTTATTTCTTCTGTAGCACTGTGACCTTGATTAACCTCATTTGTGGTATCTATTTCAGTGAGAGAACTAATACCTACACTGACTTCAAAGTGTTGCTAAATGTGGTATATGGCTGCTACTGTATCATTTGCTTCTCTCAAGCCATTTTCTGTCAGCAGAGAGGCAAGCTAGATGTATGCTCTGGGTGATTCCCATCGTTATTAGCAGAAAATTAAGCCAAACTGCTGCAAAGTAATTATGCAGCTAAAAGGTGAGCTGTAAGGAAGACACTGATTAAATACTTACCACCACAGTCAGCCCAATTGCATAATGTCTTGTTGAGAGGATTTCAACCTGTTTTCAAATTGGTGGACAGTGCCATGGGCTGAACTGAATCTTCACTCAGGCCTTGAGAAGTATGCTCAGATAAGCTTGGTCCTTTTTCATCTCAAGAGAATATTATTTCACTATCATATAACACAATACAGGATAACGGCAATTCTTAATGTGTAGCTTGAAGTTGCTCTTGCACCACTAAGTTGTTCTCACCAAAATCTTTCACAGGTTCTTGCAGAGATGCTGCAATCACAGCAATCCACTGTGGTCACATTGAGGTGTAGCTATCTGTCATGCAAAGAATGGGGAAAGTGTGAATGTTGAGAAATGATGGGATCTGAATGACTTCCATAAAACTTTGCCTGCATGAGAGACCTTGGAGCAACAACTGAGGCAGTAATAATAAGACTGTACTCTATATTTCCTCTCCAACACTGGCAAGCTTCATCTTCGACATTCCTGTGAGAAATATATCCACATGTTGTGGATAGTAATTTTGAAACACTGAGATATCATCACCAATAACCAACTTTATTAATCCTTTTCAGAATGGAGCAGCACACACTGGGACACAGAGATGATGCAGTCCTTGTCCAGAGGGACCCACCAGCAGGACATCAAACACAACTGTGACAAATGAGACCACATGGTGCAAATGATTAGTGGGTTCCAGAGTTTTATTTTGTATTTAGCCTTCCTCTCCACTGCTTCCCTGCTCAACTTTCCCCTTTCTGCTGCTTTCCCTTCTCCTTCCCATTCCTCTCTTTCTGCTGACAGTGATCCTTACAGCCAGTACTGAGACAAGTCAAAGATGCTCAATACAGCCAAAAGGCTGAAGGATTTTCACCCTGGGAAATCCTTTGTACCCTTCAGGACACTGGATGGTCCTTTACAAGCGGCTGTTACTTCGTTTAAGTCTGTTCCTGTTGGTGAGAAGTCTGATTAAATAATCCTAATAAGCAAAGAGGTTTTCTAATATTATCTCTAAACATAACACTGGAAACAGGATGGCTAATGGTCAAATCCTGCCTCCAGTGATGTGAGCAGATGCTTGGTGACTGCAGATATCATATTTTGCTTCAACACATTTCCATTCTGTTTTAACAGTTACCCACACACAAAACTCCCCTTTTTTGTGGGCCAGTGCTTCTGAAGACAGTCAGAATTTTATCCCTTATCCAGGTCAGGTGCACCAAACACAGCAGCTGGTGTTTCACACCTTGAATCCTTTCAAAAGTTATCCACCTATCACATGAACATGAAGGTTCATCTGACCCCAGGCTGCCTATGCTGGAAATCTACTCTAGCTTTATTATTAAAAACTGTAAGCAAGACTTTTCCAGAGAGCTGTGAAAGACTATTTACAAGAGCACGTAGTGACCCGACAAGGGGGAAGGGCTTCAAACTGAAAGAGGACAGGTTTCGATTAGATATTTGGAAAAAATCCTTTACTGTGCAGTTGTTGAGGCACTGGAACAGAGTGCCCAGAAAAGCTGTGGATTCCCCAATCCCTGAAAATGTTCAAAGCTGACTGGATGGGGCTCTGAGTAACTTGGTCTTCTGGAAGGTATCCCTGCCCTTGACAGGGGGCTTAGAACTAGATGATCTTAAGACCCCTTCCAACCCAGGCTGGCCTGTGATTCTATGATTTAATGAGAGCTGGGCCACTAAACACTGACTGCACCTATGGAAAAATCTGCCCTTTTATGCAACTTTTAATTTCAACAAATTTCAGAGTTTTGCAACTTTTAATTTCCAGCTCAAAAACTGTAACTTTGACAGTTAAATGAAAAACATATCTAGTACCAGATTTTTGCTAACCCCAGAGCTATAGATGATCCAGGTGTTTTGACCTGGTCTTACAGAGGCTGTGAAAGCTTTTTGTTTCTCAATAAATGAGAACTTTAATTCATTGATGACTGTTCCATCCAAAGGCATACTACATAGCAGCAAACAGAAGTAATTTTACAAAGAACTTTTGCACATGGCTTAAAAGAAAACCCATCAAGAATTGGCAATTATAGATGATCTCCCCAGTGACATTCAGGAGTAATGCAGTTTCACATTTATGTCAGGGAAAAACAAACAATGGACATATTTAAATAATCATTAAAAAATGAGATGCCTGGCACAAGGCATGTTCCAACCCTGTTCTGCCACACATCTTCTGGAAATCTTTTCTGGATATTATCTGAGGCCTTCTTATTTGCGTTGCTCGTGAAAAAGAACTGTAGTGGAGGTTCAAGTGTTTGTGTTCTCAGCAAAAGGTTCTCTCAAGGGAAATTACGTGAAAGGACGTTTTTCTTCTCTTCATGTTTGGCATTCAGGAGTAGTGAGGAGAAAAGGCAGGCACAGGAGTCTTTCAGAAACCACCAGAGAGCAGTGGCAGCATTTCATAGGGATGTGAACCGCTCATCATCTGCTGCAAAGACTCCATTAACGTGGCCTGTTTTTAAATCCAGTGCTTCACAAGGAATCCCATTTTCTAGTGTCACTTCAACTTTCTCTTCTAAATTTTCTCTCTCTGTTGACTCTTTATTCTTTCTAAAAACAAGAAAGAAAATATCATCTTATTCTGTTGACCTGCAGCACTCCACCATGATTCCACAGGAAGAAAACTGCATATTTAGTTAGAAGTTTGTCCTAGGTTATGCTCCTTAAGGCACAATCTGGTGTACTTCCTTGCTGTAGTAAATATATCAGATGGGTGTATCTAAATACAATAGATGGGGAACCCACAGATTGGAAGCCCTAGTTTAGCAGTTTAAGCTCAGAACTGGAGACCAAGTAGATATGTTTTAAGTATGTTTTAAATATTATTTCACCTTCTTATTCTGCAACATGACTAGAAGCTGCAAAAGAAAAGCTGGGACAAAACAAAATTTTAAAATCTCTCTAAATTTGTTCGGGTTTTTTACATCAGGAAGATCTACACTAAGCATGGGTCTGACCCTGCCATGTATGTCATAGATCTCACCTCATGATCTCTACAAAATAAAACATCTTTTTTAGAAAGAGATCAGTCTTAGACTAACTATAGCCTTCAAATGTGGAGACTTGGGTGCCCTCACATCCATGATGACCTTCTTCAGAACATTCATGATTACTTTCTTAGTAATCTCAGTGCCGCAAATTTGCATTTTTTCTTCAAACTGCATTAGCAGCCACCTTCTTGCCCAGTAGTTTATACTTTTGTTTTCTAGATCAAACAATTACACGGCTTTCACTTTTCCACACGCCAGTTGTCCCAAAAACATATTATAATAGTGGTTGAGTAAAATTATCTACATAAAAAAACCAAACCTAAAAAATATTATCTAAAATACAATCACGAGAAGATGTAATAAACTAGTATCCGTCAACAGGTCATGATGTTCCTTTAATTCCAGATTTATTCCAACCTTGATAACAATTAGTTCATAGTTGAAAAACCTGCTGTACTTTATGGCCTGCAGCATCAGCGGTTTCAGAGGACAAGAAACTCAAAGGTCAGCTGCACTGCTTCTTCCTATCTCACAACATGCACTGTGACAATCTGACTCAGGACAATTGTGAAAATCGGACTCACTATAACTGCTAATGACAGAGATATTAACAATAATAAAATTTTATTTGCCTTTGGGAGATTCTTGGCATTATAGACCTGTTAAAATAAACTTGGGGTGTAGTAGTGGAAACCTCTGATCTCTGGCTGCCCTTACACTGATAAAAAGGAGTGTTTTTTAATACAAAACTGTGGGAACAGAACATAAAAGTTACTACAAAGGAGGTTCAAAAGAAATGAGAGGAGTAGAAGATGTGTGAAACTCATTATTAGAGGAATTCAGAGAAGCTAAAAATTTCCATGAATCCAAAGGGTGGCTCAACAAGTTAAGGGAATAGAAAACATTGTGAGTTGCCCAATACAAGAAGACCAAATGCAGCTCAGGAAGGCCCACAGCTGCAAATTAATTCCTGGGAGAACTAATACAGGGAAAGACTGTGTGCTTACTCTGATTTCACTCTTCCCAAGGTAAATGTTTATGGCCCCTGCTGCCGATGGGATTTTGGGGGATAAGGGGAGACTTTGGGCTAGTTGAGGATAGACTGTAGAGGATGACCTTGACCTGGGAATGTGGCAAATCTATTGCTGTAGGGGGAGGTGTCCTATTGCTGGAAGGACAGGAGAACAAACACAAGGCTGGGAGACAGTGTGTCTGACCCAGCTCACTGGAGGCACTGAATTCAGCAAATCTCTCAGTTCAATAAACGATGCATGAGTCTAACTTGATACTGAAACTCCTCACTAGGCCAACTCCCTTTCCCTGACACCCTAAGCACGTGCTTTTGGTCTTATCTGAACTCAGGTATTTAAATGGTATTTTAAAGGCCTTTAAAGATAAAATGCCAGATTTATGAGAAGCCAACACCATCCTAGGGGTCAGATTTATAACACAGCTTACTAGGCAATAGGGTTCCCATTACGTAAGCTCTGGATAGACTTCTAAGAAAATTAATTATTGGGCATGCTGAAGTCTTTGAAAACCTGGTCACTTACTTCACTGTTTGACAAAGAGATCAGTGCTTTTTTTCTTTTGCTGATTTCTGGCTTCTTTTTTTTTTCCCACGAAGCCAAATAACACAGACCATCCCTTTTACCTCTCCAGTCCTTGCAACAGTAGATAGAAGAAATATATGCGTGGTTTACTCTCTCTCTTACTTCCCTGCCCCTGCTGCAGATGTTATTGATGTGAAAGAAGGGTTAGAGTTCAGCCACAGATGAAACTGCTCTGAGGAAAGGTTATATGTAATGGTAGAGTAGGGAAACAGAGGGAGAAGTGAAAAAAGCATAGCAACTAAAAGGACAAGAGCATGAGACAGAGAGGGTGCCAAGTGAGCACAGGCAGGCAGTAACAAGCTATATTAATGGCAGTGTGATGGTAAGAGCATGCAGTTTACACCATATTGAGGGGAACTGCTCAAGCTCAGCTGAGTTACTTTGAAAATACAGGGGGAAATCCTGTATTTCAGCACGATATGAAGTACAAGTGATTATTTTAGCTAAAAAAAATCACAGCTATTTATCATAGTTTATTTATATTACACTTATGTGAAATGTTCAAAGACCCCCTTAAAGTTAGGCACTATAAAGAAACACAGAGCCATGATGCCACAGAGGGAAGATATGGGCTTCAGGTAGCAACATCATTCAGTTTTACAGAAGAGGCTGCCTATGTTTAGGGCATGAAATAATTCAGTCCATACAGCATGGCTGTGATAGGGCTTTAACTATCCACAGATTCCAAATACCTTCCCAGACTCTTTCCCCAACAGCATCTTTCATCTATTTTTTGCTGAATTTTGTGGGGTTTTTTTGAAAACAGAAAGGAGTTTTGGAAATTCATGTAACTCCTCTGATTGCAAAATAGGACTGAAGGGTTCTGACTACACTACTAAAGGTTCTCTATTAGAAACCCTTAACCTTCACAAGTGTTCTTCTGAGGTGTTTTAACAATCTTTAAGGTAATATAAAGGCAGAAAGGACAAGTCTCTTCAACATACCACTTTTCATATATGAACTCCTTGTTCGGATATATTTGGGGATACAATCCATTATACAGTCAATAATTCTTGTATCATCTGGTTATCAGCAGAAATTTACCCTTTTTCAGTTCTTCTGCTGCTCCTGTATGAATCTATTGCCGAAGTAATAACTTTATGTGAACCTAAACTCTGTGACAGCCAAGATCAGCGTAGAAACTGAACTTCTATGGCAGAATCTCAACTCAACTAAGAAATTTCTATTCCTTATGCTCAACTCAGAGCCAGCCAAGATGGCAGGATCAAAACTCCACCTGCTCTCTGTGTTGCTCCCACATGCTTACACTAGGGAAGAAGGAATACCCTTCTCTTTTTCACCAGTGCCACCAGGGCAGAAATGGAGAGGAAAAGAGAGTATCTCTCTTATCCTACCATCAGAAAAATTCCTAAGCCTATGGGGAGATCTGCCCATGAACCTGTGAAGGGCTGGGTATTTTGGGCTTACCAGCTCATGAAGGGAAGTGAAACCCTGCTCTGCTCCAGTGAGCAGGCCCTCTTCAGCCCTCCATTAATCATTACTGTGTGCTCTACTGAGTCTTCTCAAGCTGCAGTAGCACAGCTTTTTTAGCCCTACCAGGTGTTCACACTACTGCCCTGGAAGGGACTGACTGTGTCACTGCCAGCCTTCCCCCTCTTGGTAGCTATGTGGGTGGTCTGTGAGAGGAGACTCACCTGCAGCACAATAAAACTTTACAAGAATGACATCAATAGTCTTTTTAAAGCTCATCTCCAGTTAGGTGGCCTCCAGGATCATATTCTTACACTCTCCATTTCCTCACTACATCCCAAAATTACTAAGGCATCTATACTTTACAGTTAAAAATTTGAAAAGGAGAGATGGGTTGTGTTAACCTAGCTGGAGAAGGATTCACAGCATTAATCTGTATAAAGCTGCTCTGAAACACAAAACCAGCTCAGCTGACCTAATTAATCTGTATTCCATTAAAATAAAAGAAAGGCTAGACTGCTTACTTCTTGTGTTTCCGAATCCCTGAAATAATGAGGAAAATAATCCCAGCCACAATGAGACAAAGAACAACACCAAATACAATAAGCCAGACAGGCGTAGAGGGTTCAACAGGAGGTGATAAGGTGGAGGTTATCTTCAGGAACTGCAGTGTTTTGTCACTCAGTAGGAAGGCATTGTTGATTCTGTTCCGGTTCATCCTTCAGGAAAAAAAACAAACAAAAAAAAAACCAGAAAAACATCACAACTCTTTATAAAGGTATTTTACAAGTTAAAAAGATAGTAGAAAATAAAAGATTTTTTATGAATGTGCTGCAAGTTAGGTAGAGCTGAACGTCATCCAGCATGATGAAGAAAAGGATTCTGTCTACCTTTAGTGGGGATCAGCCTCTTTTCTCAGGCAACCAGACATGAGGACATAGCCTCAAACTGCACCAGGAGAGGTTCAGGTTGAACAACAAGAAGAATTTTCTTCACTGCAAGAGTGGTTAAGCATTGGAAAAGGCTGCCTAGGGAGTGTTGGAGTCACCATCCCTGGAGGTGTTCAAGACACAACTGTATGTGGCATTTAGTGCCATGGTCTGCTTGACACAGTGGTAGTGGTTCAAAGGTTGAACTTGATGACCTTGGAGGTCTTTTCCCACCTAAATGATTCTATGATTTTAGGATTCTGTGATTCTATGAGGACTACAGAGACCTTGACTATAACAGAGACTTCAGTAATCCATACACACCCACACACTTAGAACATTCTGAACACCAGACTTTCATATGCATTTATCTGAAAAAATGGGAAATACAGATGAGATCTGAAGTACAGTATTGTTATTTATTTCTGGTTTGAACCATGTCCTGAAGACATAGCAGGTTGTAAACTGGAAGGCTGGCTCTGTTGCCATGCTCATGCAGCATTCAAGATCAGCACAGGACTGGCAGATCTACCCTTCAATGCTTGCAGGATTTACTTACAGTTTCCCCCTGGTCCCTCAAACTGAACTATCCTGCATATTATGGGCTGGTACATCTGCCCCTGCTGCTGTAGATTTTCTCAGATCCATGAGGCACAGGATACAATTTGGTCTGCAAGAATCCACACCTATTGAGAATATGTCCTTCTTCCCTGTAGGATGCAGCTAAAAGGATTTGTACTTTCCACATTTTTTCCATTTCCATATGAGAAACTGTATGTCTGAGAAATATGCTTTTTCACAAAAGTAGTACGACTGCTATCCTTTAGTGAATATCTTCATCCATCTTCACTGCCTGTAAGCGTTTCACTGCCTGTAAGATATTTCTGGATCTAAATCTAAGCAGGCTTAAGAGGCTTTAGAAGTATCTTTCATTAGCTTTTTCAAAATATTAAAAATTTTTAAGCAAATGGATTACATATATTGGTCTTGAGAAATTCTTTTTGATAGAAGTTGTAGGAATTAATGCAGCTCTTTTTTGTATACAATTCAATTTATTTACTACAGAGCAAGTATTTCCTAGAAAAAGATGTATGGGAAATACAGGTAGGATTTAAGAAATTTCTCTTCTTGGAAATCATGTTTGGCTGTCCCTTAAACAGGAAGTTCTTAGGCTAAATGGAAAGTCAGCATTCCAGGACAGGACTGAAAGCCATGGCATGTTTTAAGACTCATAATTCTGTAAGCTGTCTGCCATTTAGAAAAGATTTCCTTACTCATGTGAAAGGATCATTGTGAACAGCTGAAATAAGCATTGTTTACCCTCATCTAATGGCCTGAGTTTCAGAATTATGTGCTGAAATACATGCAGGCAACTACAAGTGCATTGCATAACTATATCTTGTGTATATTTATGCAAAATGTTGAGTATCATACAGAGCTCTGACATGGTTTACCTTCCTCTTTATTCTTACTTTGTAGGAATCTCATACAACAAAATTCTAGTCCATGACTAGTGTTATGTGCTAACCTAGCATGAAGAATTATAGTAAAGGTTGGTATGGAAGCCTGTAATCAGAAGCAATTGAACAAAAAGCATTGTAGTTTTATAGACCATTTTATTTCTTGTTTTTAAATTAGGTAGGAATTAAAACTTTTCATAAATAGCATATTCTTTATCAGGTGACAGACAACAGTTAAAACCAAACAATAACAGCATCCAATTTCTGTGCCAAACGGGGCACATAAAAGACTTAAATAAATCAGCTTATGTTACTGAATGTATCAAAGAATAACAGAAATGCAAAACCCCCACATTCCAGCAATCTTACAGAGAGCTTCAGTGAATAAATAATCTGCTTCCTCTACTAATGCTAGGAAGCTATTGTTTGGTGTCTCTGTAGGAAATAGTTTAATCTGCTCATAAGCTTAAATTAATCTTTCCAAAAGAACGCATACTCATTCATCAGGAATTAGGCATTACACCTCCATAGAGATAACACGAATTTTCAAGACAGAGCACAGAATGCCTGAAAACAAAGGGATCCATTTTCTACTCCATGCCTGAGAAATATATATGTGTTATGCTGCTTGAGGGACTCATCCCTATAAACCCCTGGTGCAGGTTTTTTTGGACCATTGAAGCCAGATTATCCAATTTTTTCTTTTTTCCTTGTCAGCTCCACATTCTTCCTTTTACTTGCTGCAGAATGTGATAGTAAAAGGCAAAGTGATTTCTAGTGCACTGTCCTTTGTACAAGCAATGCTCAACTGTGATATTGACTGGCATTCTAGAAGTATGTAAAGAATGTGAGCATAAGATTGCTTAAGCCAAGCTGTGACACAGCCAGCTGCGCTCATGAGTAATTCACACGAGCTCTTCTCATGTGAAAGCTGACTCCTAAATTAAATCAGATGAACTGTTAGTGAGAAGCACTAAAAGGGAGCCTACAGTCATTAGCTCAGGTGTAGATGTGCATGTAGCATGCAGTGAAAGCTAAATTATATTAGTCCCACCCAGGAAGTGTGTCCTTCCATCACCTGTTTCACTGGGAAATGTAGCAGCTGGATGAGAGCAGTGTGCCACACACTGGACAGCACATCACAGGTAGGGCTCTGGAAAGGGACTAGATTTCTTCTGAGTCTCCAGCATCAACAGAGACTCTTTCCAAAGTTATAATCCCAAGGCTCACATTCTTTGCATTCTGTGGGACTGTTAAAAATCCTCTAATCTCACATTCATTAAAAAGTACTGACCCCTCAGTGTTTTAGCAACTTGGATTAGTTCATACTTAAAGAGACAGAGTGCTCATTCATACAAGGCCCAGAGAAAGAAAACATTCTCAGTAAACAAGGAAGACAACATTGCAAAAGCAGTGACTGTACCTGATGGCTGCTTCTACCTCACTTCCAGGAACAGTTGTCACATTTTTGGAAGAATCAGTGACCACAAACCAAAAGGACACCCGGTCTGTCACATTGCAGAGCAGTACATTGGAAATTCTGCAGACAGTTAAAACAAAAATAATCATTACAGAAGCATGGAAGGAATTATTGAAATATTTTAGATTTTCTTAAAATATTGCTCTCAACTAAGGGAGAAAAATTTCTTATTTTTAAAAAAGTTATCAGTTAATACTCAAGAAAGAAATGCCTCTCACAGCATTTCCCATTTCCCATATGACTTTAAAGAAATCAAGCTTATGAAGACCAAATGAGCCTTCAAACAAATTTCTAAATCTATTACAGATTTGCATGGTCTTGGACATACGTTTAGTGTAACCAAACAGAAAAATACATATATTTGAATAACATATTTGTTATTTGAATAGCAATCATATTTGAATATTTGAATAACAATCATCATTGGCTGTGACAAAAGCCATATAATGGAGTAAGTGCATTGGTGAACTAAGAATTCTGGTTTTGCCAGCAAATACCACAGGAACCAGTCATTCAGAATAGCATGATTGTCAAGTGAGATCAGTTCTTCTACATTTATTGGAGGGAAGATCAGTGAAATTGATGTTATTATTTTTGACATCTTTGTTCACAGAGCGAGGCACAGAGTGGTGGGAACAAGCTAAATTTAGTCATTCTATTGGCAAATTTAGTCATTCTCTTCCTTTTAACTTATGCTATGTCAAATATTTATATTATCTATTTTAAAGGAAGATTGTTCAGTTTTATGTGAAGTCAAATGTGGAGGGGCACAGGCAGGCGGCTTCTCATGGCATAGTACGTAAATAGTGAAACGCCTTTTAAACACCATATTGTTTTTCAGATTCCCATTAGTAAATGGTGGGAACATGAGAAAACCCTTCAGGAGCGACACAATCCCGAGTACTGAAGCGGAGGCAGTGAAACCCACCCATCCTTCCCAGCACCCCGACAGGGCCCGGGCGCGCCCCGCGCTCTGCTGGGCAGCGCCACCTGCCGGCCACCGGCGGCACCGCCCGGCCCCGCCGCACCGGGACTGGAACTGGCGGCACTGGGGGATTTGGGGGAATGGGGGGACTGGGGGGA